CTGGGTGGGACTTGTAGCCACAGACAACAAGCAAGGACTCGATCTGTGCTGTGATGTGGTGTCAGACGACGAGGGGTACATCTGTCCTCCGCCTCTTTGCCTTCGTCGCAGCCAGACGTCTTTGATTTGAGGGGCTCTTTCAGTTTGAGTTCACGGGGAGAGGAAAACACTTTGTGGGAAAAGTTCTGAGGCTTCAGAAATGACAGATGCGACTTTGTGTGTTTGTAAAGCTGAAAAAGTGAGAGTGATCATTAAACAAAACAAAAAAAAAAAAAGAAAACCACGTGCTTAACACATGATTCAGAACCTTTAATGTTTTAAAGAAAGAGTCCTGCCCTTTTCCATCTCACGAGTTGTTAGAAAATGTGCCAGATGATGAATCAGGTAACATGTGGAGCATGTTTTTCCTTTTAGTTGGGTGTCAGTGTTGCAGAATAGTAAACAGGAGGCCCTGAACACAGCACTGGGAGGAGATCAGCTTCACCTCCAGGACAGCGGGCTCCAGGAACTCTCCCAGTCCATTATTGCAGAGCTTAGACACATGCCGGGCAACGAGGTGTGCGCAGACTGCGGCGCTCCGGGTCAGACGAAAATGTCCTCACCAATCTCATTTATATTGTTTCTGTGGTTATTTCAGAGAAACATTTTGTCCTTTTCTTGCTTTTTGTGTTGCAGATCCGACGTGGCTGTCCACCAATCTGGGTATCCTTACTTGTATCGAATGCTCTGGTATCCACAGAGACCTGGGAGTGCATTACTCCAGGATTCAGTCCCTCACACTCGACCTGCTGAGCACCTCTGAACTACTGGTACTAAATATACAACGTTTATAATGTTGTCCTAATTATAAGCGTTACACAACAAAGTGCCTTCCTCTGACATACCTTCATGGTTTTGTGTCCAGCTAGCTGTCAGCATTGGCAACACCAGATTCAATGACATCATGGAGGCCGGCCTCCCCAATGACTCAGTCAAACCTTTACCACAAAGCGACATGTTAGTCACCGTTTTTCTTTAGTCTATCAGTCTGATTGTTTAAAAGACCCTTAGGCATGATCGAATTAATGTTTTGCACGTGTAATGTTTCAAACTAGGAATGCGAGAAAGGAGTACATTGTAGCCAAGTACGCTGAACGTCGGTACATCCTGCGCAGAGAAGAGTCAGATCCTTGCCGGCTGTACGACGCCGTGAGGAGCCGGGACCTCGTTTCTCTTCTGCAGCTCTACGCCGAGGGAGCTGACCTGGCCAAGCCGCTCGTGCTCCCTGAAGGACAGGTGAGAGAAAGTTTACAGACACTTTTCTTCACAAGAGGTGTGCTGTTGTGTTGAGTCAGCACCGATCAGATAACTTTAAACTCTGACTCTCCCACAGATGGCATGCATTTACCGTATTTTTCAGCCTATAAGTCACGTTTTTTTTTGCATAATTTGCATGCCCTGCAACTTATATGCCAATTTTTGACTGAGATATGACCGTTTTCATTCATTCTGACTGAAAATATTGAACACTAACATTTTCAGACGCTAGATGGCATGCCATTGTGTCATGTAATAGGTAAAAAGTGGCTATTAGTGATACAATCAGCTTGCCAAAGCCTGCCAACTTCATCCAGCTCACCTGGAGCAACCATCAAATCAGCTTCATTTCGCTGCACCGCCCCAGAGAAATGCAGCTGATTTGACCATTGAAGTGCATTTATTAAGGAAAAGTTCAACTGAGACACACCTTCACTATAATGCTGAGCAAACAAATTATTGTTTTTAAGTGTTAATCTTGTTAAATTTTTTATAAAAATCCTCCCGTGCAAGCTCCTGCGACTGCCATTTGGCAGCCAATTGATTTTTGGCACAACACCGGCCCACATTTCCAGGTTGTCAGCGGTGATGCATAACAAACGCGACGCGCGAGCGGTGATGCATAACAGATGCAACGTATTCGGCGAAGCAACATATTTATGGATTTTTCCACTTTTTTAGACATATTTGGACTGATGCAACTTGAAGCGGTGTGACGTATACGGCGGAAAGTACAGTGGTGTGAATGATATAAAGATCCTGACCAGGCCACCCACACATTTTGCTTTCTAGACTCTTTCTGAGATGTTTTAAAAAAAAGAAATTTAATTCACTTCTATATTTTTTGATAACTAAAATTGCCAGCATTCACACTATAATGATCTGTTTATACAGTATTTATTATTATTATTATTATTATTATTCCAGCAATACTTCTTTTGTACGTTTTTCAGCATCTTTGTCGTTCCATAATTTTTGTGGTATTTCAACAAATCATCAAAACGTTCAGCTCTTCAGCTCTTTCAGGACAATTTTGCTATGACTTTTGGTATTGGTGCAACTTTAGCTTTTTGAAATATTTAGTATTTTCTGACAATTTTTTTTCTCATAAAAAAATTAATTGAGCTCATTTTACATCCTTCAAGTCTTTAGATCTGTTTACAACCTTTTACTGCTTATTTCACATTTTGTTCTGGTTCAGCTTCCTTGCACCAAAAAAAAATAAATAAAAAAATCAGCTACTTTCAGCTAATTTCAGTTGTTTTATTTAGCTGTTTTGTGCCCCTTTCAGCTTTATTCTGCTAACTACAACATTCTTGTGCTTCTTCTAACTTTGCTGTGCTAATTTCTGCTTGTTATGCTCCTTTCTGCTAGTTTCATCTTTTTCTGCTTTTTCAGCTACTATTTAGTTGTTTTTATGCTAATTTGAGCTTTGTCAGCCTATTCCACGTTTTTTGTATTCATTTAAACCTTTAATTCAGCCGAAATGTGCTCTCTCCACCTCCTTCTGCTAATCTAAGCTTCTTTCTGCTATTTTAGCTACTGTTCAGATGTTTTTTGCTAATTTCTGACTTTTTCCAATAATTTCCACTTTTTTGTGCTAATTTCTGTTTCTCAGCTTAATTGGGCACAATTGTGTTCTCTCCACTTCCTTCTGCTAATTTAATATTCTTTCTGCTATTTTAACTACTGTTCAACTGCTATTTTTGCTAATTTCTGCTTTTTTCAGTTAATTTCTACTTTTTTGTGCTCATGTCTGCTTATTTAAACCGAATTCAGCAAATATGTGTTCTTTCTGCTTTCTTCTGCTAACTTAGGCTTGTTCTTACATTTCAACTACACTTCAGCATGTTTTTAGCTAATTTCGGCTGTTTTTCAGCAAGTTCTTTAGCAATAAACATTCCCACTGCATTTTTGCAGGAAATTAAATTTCTCTAGTTGAGATCTGCTGCGAGTGATGCTGCATCGTTCTTGTGGGTGGTTCATCAGAGCCCCCCCAATCTCTTTTAGCCTGTAATCATTGTCTTCCCTCAACTCCTCATCTTTACTTCCTCTCCTCTGCTAACGCCTCATCTTCTTCTCTTTAATCACACTCTAGCTCTTGTCAGCCACTTCCTGATCAGCCACAGCAGTGTGCGTAGTTTGGTTTACTTTGTGAGTGTAAGAAGTTGTTTGTGTTGTTTGGCTTTCAGTTATTATTTCAGCTTTTAGGGCTGAGCTCATGTCTCTGGGGAGTAAACGAGACAGTCTTATATTACCCAAATACTCCTCTTATGGCAAGTCGTGTAAACAGATCATCCTTATCATTGTTTTCACTTTTTAACGCGCCTGTACGAGCTTTTGGCTTAAAACTAGCAAAATATTTATAGGTTTGTCATTTTAATGCAAGAAGCAGCAGTCTGACAGAACAGAGAGTCTATTTTTACAAGTTGAGGAAAAAACGTGCACACGTGGAGCATCTATTTTAAGGTCAACAGATTGGCCTCATTTGTTCTCTTTTCGTCTGCCTCAAGGGGATCAAAGAGACCGCTCTCCATCTCGCCGTTCGCCTGGAGGAGAAAAGCTCTCTGTCGATGGTGGATTTTCTTTGTCAGAACAGGTCAGACAAGTTTTGCTTGTTGCATTTGTTGCCGTTCTTGGAACTTGTACAAATGCTGCAGGGTTGCTTTTGTGAAGTTTACCGTCATCTGTTGATGCCGTATGTGCACCGTGCAGCAGCTGCCTGGAGAAGACGACGGCAGAAGGGAACACGGCTCTTCACCACAGTGCCCTTTATCACAAGCCTGAATGCCTCAAGTTGCTGCTCAAAGCAAAAGCAGCCATTCATACAGGTCATTTTACTCTCCTAATTACATTTCAGTTACCTAGAGCAACAAGTGAAACCATTTTTTCCCTCCTGCAGTGAATTCAAGTGGAGAGACGGCTCTAGATATCGCTAAGAGGCTGCAGCACACACAATGCATTGATCTGGTGAGACCTCTTTTCCTTTTGACTTTGAGGACTTTTATTCAAATGTTCATTGTCTGAAGTGAGCTCACATGATGAATCGAGTTACAGCACACAAAATCTACCAGACACCCATCTCCTAAAACAAAACAATGTTGCTTTCACAGCTGGAAATACTACCTTAACAAACTCCCCCACGCAGCTGCGTCAGGCCCCAGAGTGTATCGGTTATAAACTGGTTTTATTTTCTTACCGGCCATCCGCCTCACTGAATCAGGCCCTCCTTGTGCAACATCCTGTTTGATTGTGAATGAGCTTGTTTTACAGGATGTTGTGAAAAATTTTGGGGAAAAATTAATAAATATTCTAAATCAGAGTCAGAAAACCCTGCACAGTACAAAAAAGTGGAAATTGATGGTTCAAGTTTGTTCCCCTTCAGACCCTTGGATTACAGATGTTTACAGTACAAACAGCTGAGATTAAATGTTTAAGTTATTGTGTTTAGTTGTAGAGGTGTTGGTGGTGGATGCTCGCTCAGCAGCCTTACAGCTTGGGAGTTGAGGCTGTGGGCCGATCTGCAGGTTCTGGCATGGAATGATCAGAATCTTCTACCTGAAAGAAGCAGCTGGAAGAGATGGTGTGCACCCCTCTCGACCAGTAGCTGCTGTAATTGTGCTGATCATCAGGGGGTTAGTCCAGATAATCTTAACTGTTGCCTTCACCACTCTATGGTGTGCTTACCAGGAGACTGCTTAACAAACCTCTGACAGCAGTTGTAGAAGTTCACCATCAGCTGCTGAGGGAGTTTTAAACTCCCTTGCTTCCTTAGGTAGTAAAGAGACTGTTGGGCATTTCCTATAACTCAGGTGGTGTTGATCCTCAGTCACAGTGAGACCCAAGAACATTCTATCACTTCTTTACCAATGACTTGTCCACTGCAGCTGGACTGGCTTGACCTGACTACCTGAAACCAGTGATCATCTTTATGTTTACTGCCAGGTTGGGGTCCTCACTACAGTCCTTTTGTCTTTACATACCAACAAGCAGTTTCTAGATTAAAACTCGTAAAACCATAAAAACACATAAACCCCAGAAAGTATGATCTAAATCAAATAATTAAAAACCAAGACAACTAAAATCCAATTTTTAATTTTTTATTTTTAGCATTACAAACAACATGATATCTGTATTTTTAAAAGCATTTGTGTATTAAACATGAATTTTAATCGTGAAGTTGCAGGTTCGAGCCCAGATTGGGTGAGGAAGGTCATCTGGAGTAAAGCAATTGCCAAATCTCTTGCAAGTTCACTAACTGGGGTGAACTCTGTAAAGGGGAGCAGCCAAAAGAAAAATATTAGACATGAATGCAACATACAGTTTATATTTATATTTATATTTTTATATTTACAGCATG